TTTTTTTTTAATATTTGCCATGTGAGGAGGCTTTGCCTTGAGGTGGGAGTTGGGGGGATATTTTTGTTTGGGGTTATTTTGCCAGTTTTAAGTCAAATTCATGACCTGCAGAGCCTTGGTGCTGGCCCTCTGCTTGAAGCCACTTTTTCACCGGCTTTCTGGAGCAGTTTGGGAATTCTGTATCTGCCTCCGAACTCCAGACGCTCTTATCCACCTCCAGGTTCAGCCCAGCTGTTCCTCAGCTTGCCCCCAAAGAAGAGCAGAGGAGACAGCTCACCTCCAGAAAGTCACGTTGGTGGTTGAACCATCTGGTCTGAACCATCTGAGGCTCGGAAGCGTTGACGTGGCTTTGGGTCCGTCCTTTAGGGAGCCCATCAGCCAAGGAGTATCTGAGCTGCTTTTTTCCAAGGAGAGGAAAAAATGCTGCTGGCTCAGGGGAGGAAGGGAGCATCTGTTTAGAACAAAGGATGTAGCTCAGGAGAGGTGAGAGGTTCTGTCCTGTGTTTGGTGGCAATTCACTCAACACGTGCTGGGATTAGAAAATGCCATCAGCTCTGCAAGGGGACACTGCCGCTGTCCTCTGGTGGGGAGAGCTGCCTCAGAGCTGGGGTAGGACTCGGGTTTGTATCTGAGCTTCCTGTGACACAGAGCCTTTCAACACACCCTGTGCGTATTTAAAGCATTTCCACATTGTTGCACTTTCCTAAGAATATTTTTGCTCAACACTGGCTAAGCTACCCCCATCTTTGATGCCTACCTGGTGACATCTGTGTCTTTTTTTTTCTGGTGGACGCCAATTATTCCTTAAAAACCAGCTGGCCAGGACAAGGGCCCAAGCATGCGTCTGCTTCAGCACCAGAATAAACACATCCCATCTATTTGAATTCTCCCAGTGGGACAAATCCATGAATTTCATTGCCCACATGCTTCTGTGCTGACTGCATTCTGCTGCGAGCAACCTGTGAGACGAGAGCGTAACTCATAAAAACGATGCATGTGTTTTTAATAACTTTTTATTTTTGGGAAAACACTGAGTCATTTATTCTGAAACTTCCTGCAGGATCATTCCTGAATCCCCTCGATGGCTCATCTCCCAGGGAAGATATAAGGAGGCAGAAGTTATTATCCGAAAGGCTGCAAAACTAAATGGCGTTCCAGTCCCCGCCATGCTTTTCAACACTGCAGAGGTATGTTGCCTATGTCCTGGTACTTTACCTCGCCGGCAGTTTCCCCCTTTGGCCAGCTGACTTGTTGGGCAATGCCAGCAGGGAGATGATGGTTTGCACCAGCAGCTCTTAGGGGCTGGCAGCGACTGTTGGGCTGAGGTAAGTGCTGGTTCCACAGGAGAAGCCAGAGAGGGGTTTTTATTTGCTTTTTGCAGTAAAATCTCTTCCTCAGCAGTAGCTGTGGTTTTCAGAGCAAGGGAGACCCACATTGCTCCATCCTTGGGGCATCGAGGAGACCCGAGGAAGCTGCGTTTGTCCCCATGACAGCAGTTTGCCATATTAGCAGTTTGCTGTTCAGGGGACCCTAAATCAGCCCCCATTGTGGGGGGCTGCCTGGAGCCCCCAGGGAGTCCCCAGGCTGCACAAACCAGCCAAAGCACCCGAGTGCTCCAAGGGCACTTGAAAAGTGCAACATTGAAGAACATTAAGCTCTTCAGGCCTTTTTTTTATTCTCGTATTTCGTGTTTATTGGTCAAAAGGAGAAAGCCTAGCACAAACCCAGCCCCAGCAAGCCGGGGAGCAGCGCAGCGGCAGCAGGACGGCCGGTCCTCGTGGCTCTGCCCTTGCGGGGGCTCCTGCCGCAGAGGTACAGATGTTTTTCACGTGCAAAGAAACCAGCAACGCTTCCAGCCTTGTGTCGGCAGTGACCCCGTGTCTGTACACCAGATCTTACCTTCCTGCATTACACCAGCACCTGCGTTTCATATCTTCCAGTAAAGCCAAAAGCAAAGCATCGCGTGCTCTTCGCAGTGTCTGCGGGAGGGCGATGCTCCATGCCACACCTCCTGCGCGCAGAAACCATCTCTTGAACATCACGCTGGCGTTTTGGCTGGGCTGCTGAAGATCTCTTTTCCAAGTGTATGTTCTCGTGAGAATTCAAGTGCGTGTTCTAGCTACAGGAAGCTCACCCTGGAAAAACCATGGACAAGCACTTTCTGTACTTCACAGAGTTCAGTTGTCTTTCATACTGGGCATGACTTTTTCAGGCTCCAGCACATGAGTTTGCTTTTCATCACCCCTGTGTGTTTTTGAGACCAAGCAGCAGCTCAGCTGTCCTTTATTTCATGGGAATCTCGTGTGCCAAAGTGTCTGTCCCCTAAAGCCTGAGGATGATGTTTGCATGCTAAGTCCTCTGTTGGAAGTATTTTTCAAACGTTGCTGAAAGATATTCCTCGGAAACCATCCTCTCCTCCTAGGAAAGGAAATCTTGGGGGTGAGCCCCCAGGGAGGGCCAGGGGGGGTTCAATCTCTGGGTTGGGGGGAAGTCTGGCCACAAGCACTGGCTTTGCCCCGGCGAGGGCTCTCTACAGGCAGAAGGACATCCTCATGCCGCCCAGAAGATTCCTGCTTCGAGCCTCAAACCAGACCCTCCGTCTCCGATCCGGGGTGGTGGATGCTCCCATGGCGCGTCCTGGCCACGACACCGAGCTCTGGCATCCGTCCCCCTCCCCAGCAGGGTGCTGGCAGGCAGGCGGCAGAACTGGGCGATTTTATGAGTCTATTGCACATCATTTGTGAAGGTTGAAGAGAAGAGATTTGAGTGGACAGTGCACAGAAAAATGCCTTTGGTGATGAGGTTGCTCCTGGAAGTGCTGTGTTAGATCCTTAAGGAAACGTTAATGCATCTTTCTTGTCCCTGATACTCTTCAATGACGCTGATACTCTTTTTGAATTCATCAGCATGCTGCGGTGGTCTCAGTGCTGCTTCTGTTTAACAAAAAAACTGGAAACTCCCAGGAGTGCAGCTGGGTGCAGAGACAAGCCTTACCCAAGGACCACCCTCCCCAGTGCAGACGTGGCCCTGGGGCTAACTGGTTATCTCCCGGTAGAGTCGTACCTTCACAACTGCCCAGCCCTGTGGGTGTGCAGAGGTTGTTTTGCTCGTAGGTGTGTGGGAATTTTTTTGGTTTTGTTTTCCTTTTTCCTTCAGATGCAGGATTCGAAGCCTCAGCAGCAGCAGAAGGCTATCCTTCTGGACCTATTTCGAACCCGAAACATTGCAACTATTACTATTATGTCATTACTTTTGTGGTAAGGAAATGTGTATTCGTAAAGTACCCAGGCCCTAGAACAGTTTCTGATAGATAATAAGCCTCAGCCTCGGAGCCCATCTCCACACAGTCCTTGGCCAGTACGTGGTCCTTGCACCCACACTGCGTCAATACAGGAGATTTTGGAGAGAGTAGCCTCAATGCAGATGTAAAATAGTTAGGAAACTGTATGCAACAACTTGTGTTTTTTAAATTCTGTTGCGCTTTTTTTTAGTTAAAAAAAGTTAAATTAATTTTAATTATTTTTTAGGTTTTTTTAAGAAGCTCCCATCTCTATAATCTCTATGTGAAATGGCCTTCTTGAAGCAAAGGCAGCAGCTCAGTAACATAACAAGGACCAGACCCATGGCCAGCGTTTTGTTCTGTTTCTGTGCCCATCCCAGTGAGATCCTGGTCCCTGCTGGGCATCCACGAGGACTGAGGACCCAGTAATAGCACACAGACAAACCAGGACCCTTTTCTGTACCTATTTCCCCCAGCAGAAAGGTGCTGGCTGGCACACTTGGCGTGCTGTAGTAAGGCACTTTTGAGATTTGAATCCTGACCATCCATCTCTCTGGTGAAGATTAAATCAGATGTCACGGAACCACTGAGGGTGGGAGATCCCATCACTGGAGCTGTCTCCCAGTAGGACCGTAGCTGGCATGGGAAGCTCTCGGGAGTCGTGTCATTGTGCCGTTAATGAGCCCGCTGCAGCGCAGAGCCTTTGTGAGCGACTTCCACAGAGCCTGTGGCTTGGTGTAGTGTGTGCAGGGAGGACAGAGAAGTGGCAGGTCTCTTCACGCCGCTGTGGATGCAGTCGCTGGAAGGGATGGCAGACTTAACAATATGGGGTTGGCACGGAGATTTTTATTTTTTTTTAAGCCACAATGCCTGTGGCGATGCTTTGAGACATCCTATTTTTGTAACAACCTCTGAGGCAACACTGGAGGTGCTCAGAGACGGGCGTTTCTGGAATAATTTGGTTTTTCTTGCTTTTCTCAGGTTTTTCACATCAGTTGGTTACTTTGGCCTGTCCCTCAGCACTCCAAACTGGCACGGCAATGCCTACGTCAACTGTTTCCTCGCGGCCGTTATTGAAGTTCCAGCTTACGTGATCGCCTGGCTTCTCCTCCGCTCCCTCCCTCGCCGCTACTCCGTGTCGGGCGTGTTGTTTTTGGGGGGGGGTGTTGTCCTCCTCATTCAGTTCGTTCCTGCAGGTACAGGATGCCATACAGGATTTAACTATATAAAATGTTAGAAATATTTAACAGCACTATCTAATACTTCTGAAAAATTACTGGAAACCATGACCAAATTGGGAATTTGAGGTCAAGTTTCTGTTGACCACTTGAGCCATGATTATTTTTTTTTTCATCAGTATGTGCTGAGTCACACACGGCCCTCATTTATTGTGTCAAATTACTGAGCTTTTTATAGTCCAGGGGAACCAGCTCGTAAAATGAGAGCCAAGAGTGTACTGTGATTTTATCTGTTTAGAGGCTAAAAGAACCCGTGAGTCTTCCAGATTTTACTGTGTGCAAATCTCTGCGGGTCTTATGCTCAGTGGGAAGTTTGGAGCCATCTAGGGATGGAGCTAATATATTGTATAATAAAAAAATAAAATCAAATAAAAAGACAGCAACCAAACCCACAACCGCTAGGGAAAAAAAATTATATGATCTTTGAGATGTAGAAGAATACGAATAAGAAGCACAGAGTGTTGTTTATTCACCTTGATTTTATTTTTTCTCCTCCAGATTATAACGTCCTGTCTATTGGCCTGGTGATGCTCGGAAAATTTGGCATCACAGCGGCGTTTTCAATGCTTTACGTCTACAATGTGGAGCTGTACCCGACGCTTGTCCGGAACATGGCAGTCGGAGCCACATCCACGGCTTCCAGGCTGGGCAGCATCATTGCTCCTTACTTCGTTTACCTGGGTGAGACCTCTTGCCTTTCTTGCCTTGAGCTACACGACTGCCCAGAAAAGTGATCGGAGCTTCTGCAGTGCAGTCCCAGCTTTATGTCCCTTCGTTTCTTGTCTTTTAGTAGAAAACATGCAGATTAAGCAGCACAGGAGTGTGTTTAGCTGTGACCTTCATGAAGTTATTTTTTTGAGTTCCTAAACCAGGCACCTCAGGACTCATTTTGCTTTTCTTTATTGTTCATGCCTTGGTCTGTGAGCAAAATTACGGATTCCCACATGGGAGGTTTTTTGACACTCATTACCATCACATCCTGAGTGCTGCACAAATATTAATTCATAAATCTTTTTTTTTTTTCTTTTAACGTACACAGAAGTGATCCTCATGTTGCAGCCAGGAAAGGGGGGCAGAGATTAGGGGATTAAGAGTGGAAATATCTGAATACCAGCTTTCCAGTCCAGTGCTCCATCTCCTTTCACTCGCATGTGATTTATTTCCTTCTGCCATCGCTGGACCCGAGACAGCTCTCCCCTGTGCCAAACGAGTTTTGATTCCAGCTGAGACCTTTGATTAAAAAATGAGCATGGAGCGTTGCTGGGGTACTGCCATGGGTTAATGCTGGTGCCAGGAAAGGGGAGAGGGCACTGCCAGGGCAGCTCACCTCTGCACTCCAGCGTGATTGCAACACACAGCGCCAAGAATGGTGAAAATACATTGTCTTTATTTTGTATTTGTACAATGCAAATTAAAAAGTAAAAAAGCAAAAGTAAAAAAAATTTTTTAAAAGTTTTAAAAAGTAAAATAAAAAGAAAAAAAAAGTTAAAAAAAATGTTTAAAAAAGGAGTAAAAAAAGCAAAGTCAAAGGGACAGCATGGCTGTGATGCTCCTTAGGGTCTCCACCCTCCGTTGCAGCACTAGTAACAGTAATTGAGAGATGTAGACACGATAAAGTTTTTACTGTTGTTTTGGGTTGTTTTTTTTTTCTCACAGGTTTCCATAGGCTCAGCCTTTAAAACAATCTTGTTCTAGTCATCAGAATAGTTTCCTAAACTTTAGGAAGTTTTAGGAGAAACTCCTCAGCTGCTGCTATTTGCTCCAGCTAAATTGGGACCTTGCAGTTCATCCAGCACATGAACACAGAAGAGATCAAATCCCAAACTCTGGCTCTCTGTGAAATACCCAGGGGGCTTCACTTTAATCCCAGTTTATTCCATATGTTATAAAGCACACTGCTCCATCCCAAACAAAAAATAAAGCTGTCAAGCCCAGTTTAGTACTTTCTCTCCCTTAAACCCTTTAAGTCCCAGCTAATCCCTGCACTGAAGGTCCTTTTCACTGCGGTGCTATTGTGACCTGCTCTCGCATCCTGCCCGAACACTTGTGCGCTTGCTTCAGGCTGCTGGCAGGGGCCGCTGCCTTCTAGTCCAAAATCAGATTCCGAGCAGACCAAGGTCAAAGCCTCCTGTGTGCCATGGAGGCCTGACGCTTCCTCACCTTGAAATAAGGAGGGTATTTAAGGATTCCCCAGTTAGTGGCCCATTAATCCGAAATTAGCTGTTCAGCTGCCTTCAGTCTCTTCCCTTCTTTCGCACAAGCCCAGGTGGCTGATGTGTGCTTGGTGGCTTCTGAGCACCACTGTTCCCTCCCATGGAATTATTTAAGGGAGGATCTGGTTCCCGATGACAGCGTAGTACTGGTGGCTCCAGCAGTGGCCCCAGCAGAGCTGTCACCTCGCAAAGATCTTGGCTATCCCAGCTGAAAATGTACAAAAATCCCTACTAGCTGCTACAGAAACACAGGGGATGGCATGAAGCTGCTGGTGGCGGTGGGGACCATCTCAGAGCACACTTCGTAGATTTACAATTGAAAAATCCCTTTGTTTGCTAGAAGATACCAGATGTAACAAAATTAATTGTTTCAATTAAATGTTTCAAATTAATTCTGCTTAACCTTAATGTCTGGAATATAAATTTTACACATGGGTTTGTTGATTGTGGAGATATAAAATGACGTCCTGTGACATCCTGTATTCTGCCAGGTGCCTATGACAGGTTCCTGCCATACATCCTGATGGGAAGCCTGACCGTGCTGATCGGGATCCTCACTCTGTTTCTCCCTGAGAGCTACGGCAACCCCCTGCCCGAGAGCTTTGAGCAGATGCTGACGGTGAAATGGTAAGGGGGCTTTCCTTCATCCTACGCTTCCCAAGAGCTCAGGACCTCCTTCTGCCCAGTCCCTTTTCACCATCACTAAACACGTTTCATCAGATCCACCACAAAACATCAAAGCTTTCAAAGTGCCCTTTAGATTTTTTTATTTTTAGCTGTTAATTTGACAGACACTGACATTACGCAGTTTCTCCAGAATTTCTGAACCTGAGCACTGATGTGCTTGGAAGTGGGCGCTCGCAAATCAGAGCTGACCTTCACGACACCTTGAGGCTGTTGCTTCATCTCTCCCAACACTTTCCTTCCTTTTCTAAAATTCAGTCTCCTCATTTAAACTATTAATATAGTAGGAGGATTTGCATTACAAAACACTTTACACTTTCAGTGTAAGTTCATTAAGTATTATTCCAAATTAAACATAGAAATTATCTTTAATTTGGGAGGCCAGAGACATGCCAGGACAGCTTTTCTCCTGGTTTGTGTAGCTATAAGCAGTGACAGTTCTCTTGTCCCAGCACCGTTGTTCTTCAGGGTACCCTGAGCAAACATCTCTGCTGCAATCTGTGCCTGTGCATCACACTGCTGGTGCAGTGGAGACAGGCAATGCTTGAGAGTTACCGTTGTGGGAGGAGAACTCTTGGGAGTGGCAGATATAAAATTAATTATCCAAAGTGTAGCTGCATCGCTACCATCCAGCTTCCTGAGATTTTGTACTGGAGCAGAATTTGCCCTTGTAAGCCATAATAGTTTGAAAAAGCTGGAATTGCCTGTATCAAATTCCTGGTCGGTAGGAGAAGCTGTCATTATGCTTCCAGAATAAGAATTCTTATTATTACAGAGCACTTGCTTTTTCCTAATGTTTATATTAGTAGCGTAACATCGTTATTTTAGCAGTGCTAATTAGGAGGGAGATGTGTCTGACGACACCGTGTAAAATGTTCTCCAGCTTCTCAGCCTTTGACTTGCTTTCAGCTTCAGAAACGGGCAACAAACCGCTGGCATTAGGAATTCAAAGAAGAGTCCTAAGATGCTGATAACACCCTTGTGAAGAAGGATGCACGCTCTTGCAGGGGCTGAAAGAAGAACGAGATCTTCTCAAAATGCATTTTCTGCCAGAGGAAAACAAAACCAAAACCCAACAGTCAGTGTGACTGCACCGTAGTTATCAGCTCCTGTGCTACTGTACCCAACTACATAGTTTACTGAACAGCTGCTGTCTACTCCCGTAGGATTCCTAGTCTGTAATTCGGTGTCCCAATACCTGGGGTTTGTCAGCAGGTACAGTCCCTGCTGAGAAACGGGGGCTGTGTGTGCTGAACGTGATTGATTCGAGCAGTCAGCAAGAAATGAGCCTTAGGAATGACAGAGCGATGACTCCGCTCTGTCAGGTTCTCAATGAAAGCTGCTTAAAGGAAAAAAAAAAAAAAAAAAAA